AAGTAACATACTCTGTTTGAAAACATAGTATGCTGCTTTCACTTTTATAATAGACCGGGGGTTCAGCTAACTGAATTGTGATGCTCCATTCATGTTGATCCTAAAACTCAGTGAGTGGTTCCCCAACATCCCCACCCACTGTCACAGACCACTTGAAAATTACTGAGGGTCTTGGGGGACTGCATAATTATTTTTCTGCCTGTTGGAACAATTGTGTCTGTTGTTGTTGTTTAGTCGTGTCCGACTCTTCGTGACCCCATGGACCAGAGCACACCAGGCACTCCTGTCTTCCACTGCCTCCTGCAGTTTAGTCAACTCATGTTGGTAGCTTCGAGAACACTGTCCAACCATCTCGTCCTCTGTCGTCCCCTTCTCCTTGTGCCCTCCATCTTTCCAACATCAGGGTCTTTTCCAGGTAGTCTTCTCTTCTCATGAGGTGGCCAAAGTATTGGAGGCTCAGCTTTAGGATCTGTCCTTCCAGTGACCACTCAGGGCTGATTTCCTTAAGAATGGATAGGTTTGATCTTCTTGCAGTCCACGGGACTCTTAAGAGTCTCCTCCAGCACCATAATTCAAAAGCATCAATTCTTCGGCGATCAGCCTTCTTTATGGTCCAGCTCTCGCTTCCATACATCACTACTGGGAAAACCATAGCTTTAACTATATGGACCTTTGTTGGCAAGGTGATGTCTCTGCTTTTTAAGATGCTGTCTAGGTTTGTCATTGCTTTTCTCCCAAGAAGCAGGCGTCTTTTAATTTCGTGGCTGCTGTCACCATCTGCAATGATCATGGAGCCCAAGAAAGTAAAATCTCTCACTGCCTCCATTTCTTCCCCTTCTATTTGCCAGGAGGTGATGGGACCAGTGGAACAATTGTAGTATGCTGTATTAGATGCTGTATGGTTTTTAACTGTATTTTTGTTTTATTTCTTGTATGGCTCAAAATTTAACAGTTGGTGGATGTGTAAGTTTATATACAGTGGTACCTTGGTTATCAAACTTAATCCGTTCTAGAAGTCTGTTCCAAAACCAAAGCGTTCCAAAACCAAGACGAGCTTTCCCATAGAAAGTAATGCAAAATGGATTAATCCATTCCAGACTTTTCAAAACAACCCCTAAAACAGCAATTTAATATGAATTTTACTATCTAACGAGACCATTGATCCATAAAATGAAAGCCATAAACAATGTACTGCAGTCACACAATCAATCAATCAGTAGCTGAACTGGGTCCCACACAGTCACAAAAACAAAAGAGCCGCAAAAACAGAAACACAAAATAAATAGCAAAAACAGACAGACTTCAGCGTAACACTCAAATCGGAAGCGTAACACTCAAAAAAGTTCGCAAACCAGAACACTTTCTTCCGGGTTTGCAGTGTTTGGGTTCCAAGTTGTTTGAGTACCAAGGCGTTTGAGAACCAAGGAACCACTGTAATTGACTTTAAACTTTTTTAATTAATTTTTTTATAAGAACTGTATTCTACTTCTCAGTGCTAAAAGTCTGCCGTTCCTATTAGCATTATTCTTTTTAATATGATTGTCTGATTTCATACTCACTCCCATTTCTTTTAAACAAATATATTATTCATTTCAATTGCCCATTACATAATTAATGTAATTTCCCTAGCTTTCTAAAAAGGATATTGAATTGTTGATATTACAATCCTGAGCAGTTCGTGTATACCTGCGTTTCATTTTGCAGTCGATGTCATTTGGGGGAGTTGCTCATTGTAATTCATCATGTGAAAATGGATTTCCTAGGATGTCCTTCAGAGTTGCATTAAAATACCACATATTCCCGGATTGTCATAATGCTGTAAGGAATCCCCGCCCTGCCCCCATATACAAGAATTCTAGGCACCAACTTGACACCTCACACAAACTGTACACATTTGGAGTGTGTGTAGTAGGTACTTTAAAAACATTTGTTTTGCTACTGCTGCCAAGTTTATAGGTTTTTAGGTGGATTGGGTCAGGCCCCCAAACTGGGTACTAGCCATTCCCTTTTACTTCAATTTCATTAGTCATTTTAATTAATAAAAGAAAACTCTGAGATGAACATAATGTTTAACTATCTTGGCTCGATAAATCAAAGACAAATTAGGACTAATTCACAATATTTTTGCAGGATACATGCTGCTCCAAAAACACTCCCCTGCTATAAGTTTCCACATTGCATCAGCAGGAGGACTGGAGGTTGAGAGGTGTCAGGAGACATAATATATTGGTGGGAGAAGGGAATGGGGTCACTAGTGGAATTTTATGCTGTTAAGGCTGGGTGTTGTGGTTTTTTGTTTTTAATGCTGCTCTGTTGATTTTAGTGATGGTTCACATCCTGTGGACGGATATCAATCAGTCCTGGTGAAATGCAGAATCTACATTTATAAAGGAATATGTAAAGTCGTCCCAAAGGTCTGAGAATAAGGAGGTGATCCGATCTGATACATTAGAATACAGATTCTTGCAATACTGAAGTTTCCCCTGGCATGCTACCTAGAGAATTACCACAGAAATGGAAAGCTCAAGGAAAGCCTTTCTAGGTAGAAAAATGCAGGTGAATATCATCATATATAGTGCAATAGGATTGAAGGGTTGGTTTGGATGGTGCCCGTGGTTTTGTATCTACAGAATGAAAGCCTGTACAAGAGAGAACCTATTGAACTGGCCAAACCAGAATCTTTGTCAAGATAATGGCCCTGGCCAAGTCCATTAAGCATCCTATCTGCATGTATAAAGAAGGCGTTGAAGAACAGATGTGTTGCCATAGAGACAACTGGTCGATGCTTCAAGGAGGAGGAGGAGGAGGAGGAGGAGGAGGAGGAGGGATGGGCCCTCTCCCTACCTCACTCACTCTGCTGTTCACATCCTAGGAATGAGAGCAATAGGTCAGGGGACCTAGTGTATGTGTGAATCTCATATGCTGATACAGAGAGCTGGGAAGACAATGGCTTTGCAGGGACCCCATAGAAATCCAATAGGGAGGCAAAATCTGTTGGAGTGTTAATGCTGCGAGCGCTTCCATCTACATTGTACGCAGGTTGTATATATGTGTATCTCAATCCATATATCCTAAACACACCACAGCCTCCATGGACCATCATTCAAGGGAAACTGAACCCTAAGTAAGCACAATGGAACCCCTAGGGTAGCTTGGAGATTGGGATGAACTTGCTCCTGGATTTTTGCCTTAATGAGTATTCATTTTAAAAATACTTTTATTATTATTATTATTATTATTAGCATTTTAGAATTTTTGTTGTCGTTTATTATGATTTTACACTTCAGGTGCTTACAAAGGAATTCTTTTTATTGCAACAGATTCTGTTTATTAAACACAACATCCAGCTCTAATACACTGCAGGCTTTGACATTCCTCCACAGCATGTGACTTCTGAAATAAGGTTACATTTGTAAAACAGAATTATTTTGCTTAGGTATGAACTGCATGACATGAAATTCTGTAAAACAGTGTTTATTTCCATTCCCTCTCGTGTTACATTTCATAATAACACAGCCAACATGAAGTTAATTAGAAGGAAGTGTCAGGCAACCAAATATAACCCACCGAATTCTGCTCCAATCCATAGCCTACTGTACGGAATGAGTAAATATAAGACAGATAATTTACTCTGCTGTTTCCCCATTTTTTTATACAACTGTAGTGCATTATTTACAGCTGGTTCATCAGACCTAATGAAATGGCATTTTAGTGTGCATAGAAGTACATAGAAGAGGCAGTTCAAAACCAACAAAGTAAATTTAATTAAAAAGTGTTCATTTTTCAAATATAAGGCGCACTCCTAGAAAATCCCGCATGTCCTCCAGATATATTACTATGGTTCTAGTAATACAGTCTTAAAACAATTTAGTCAGTTGGGCTATTGTGTGCTTAATGTTTGTTATAATTCTGTTTATTTTTGTTAATTATTCACTACTTCAATTTAATTATATAAATATACCCAAAGGCATTTTGATATTGGGCAATGATTAATTCAACAGCATTTTATGATGCTTCTCAACAGCAAAGAGTGGGTAACTTTAAACACAATGGATACAATCCATGTTGAAGTTGATGATAAACATTCAACTGATTTTAATTGAAATGAATTGCGCTCAGTGTGCTTGAATAGTCAAGCAGCTGGATGTACACAGGCATGAAAATGTAAATAAAAACATGCAAATTATAACCAGGTGTAGTCTTCATCTGTGAAAGTAGAAGTATTTTAGGTGAACACAGACACAGCTTCCTGACAACACACATCTGATTTCAGAACCATAATTTTAAGCATAATCCTATGTAGGTCTACTCAGAAATAAGCACCACAGTGTGCGTGTAGCAGGGTTGAAGAGCCTCATTCCTGGGAGCCAAATACAGCTCTCCGTCTGGCCCATGAAGTCCCCATAAAGTTGCCGAGACGGAAATGTGGCTCTCAGACTGAAGAAGGTTCACCACCCCTGGTGTATAGGCTGGGCCACCATTCTTGCTGTGGTGTCTGTCTGGCCATCCTCCTTCTTGCCCTCTCCTTATCTCTCCCCTCGGCTTTTAGCTCTGGCCCAGCTAGTCTCTGCTTTGGTGCAACATCTCCAGTTCTGAGAGCAACAGCTGGCCTTCTCAGCTCCCATCTCTTTTTCTTTTGGCTCTCTATTCTCCTTTGCTCTTTCATGCTCCCCTTCCTCTCTCCGTATTCCTCTTGCATTGGTAAGACACTTCCAGCTTTCCCAGGGTATGGCCACTCCTGTAGCTCTTTCCTATTGCTTCCTCTGAACTTCCTTTGTGCAGACTCTCATGTTCTGTCATTGCTTCCAGGGACTTCTAGATAACATCAGCTGAATCCACTGAGCCCTGCTAAATGTTCCTGCATGACGCATAATCCAGTTTTGGTACATACCAAAGGACTGGGAATAACATCATTGCATGACGTTATGGTTATGTCATCGGCCAGAATAACCTTTGTGAGTGCAATAATAGCCGCTTACCCTTCTCTGGGTGGCTAGCTGTTGCAGCCCCTCACGAGCTGCCCTCCATTCCCAGGGCTGTGGGGCAGAGCCTAGTTGGAGGATCTAAGTGTGGAAGTTCACGTTCCGATCCACTGACTGCGGATGGAAGCCGACTGCACCTTGCGTTTGCAGAGAAGTCCATCAAACAGTGAGTGGAATAATGGACACTCAATCAGATCTGTGTAGTTTAATTGATATACATGTTTTTAGTAACTGAATTTGACAAGACAGGAAAATATATACAGTGGAGATATACACACACACAACAGATGTGATTCCCACTTTTGTACATTAGGCTGCATTCCAGCCATGCACTTCTATGCACACACACATTTCCATCAGGCAAACAATAAATATCATTACAGTTCGGGGAAGCACTGTGTGCCAAGCATTCAAGGAAGCAGGACAGAGGCAGTGAGTGGGGTGGGGAGAGGGGCATAGCCTAGGGAGAGTTCCAGGGACCAGACAGGAAGGTCTGGAAGGCTCCACACAGCCCCCACCCCTGATATAAAGCTATCACTGTGCATTATATATAAAAAATACTTACTCAGAGGTGTGCTAATATATGCACAGGAGATGCCCTGTTTTGCTCTGGTTTGGAGTAATAATTTCAACACTATTCAAGAAATCTGATGAAGTATAATTTGACCATATCACAGCACACATTAGGAAGAAGGGAGAAGAAAAGTAAGTTCTTCACAACATGACTGCTAGATGTTATTTTGGGAGGAATTTGGCACTACATGATAAGCCTCTCTGAAAAGATGAATACAACTCCAGGAAGCATGACAGCATAAGAAAGCCAATGAGGACAACCCCACTATTAGTGCTTCAGGAATAAAACACAGATTAATGTCACTAAAGCACATGTCACAAGAGATAATGATGATGTGTACAAATGAAGCTCCTCAACATGAGCCAAAAACGTAAGCACCACAGAAAACAGGATAATAATTATACACAATTCACAAATGACACAGCCATCTGCTAAGTGTGCATTGCACTCTCACAGTATCAAAGGGTTTGTTCTACTTCTTCCCCATAAAACTTGCTTAAAAGTTTCCTCTTTCTATTCAAGTGGCATAAATTATAAAGCAGCGTAGCAAGCACTTTGCATCGCCTAAACAAGAAATGTGCTGGTCGGCTCCAAAGGCTCTGTCTCTGAATAGTGCTTCGTCAAACTAGTCATTATGCTAAGATGAAGAGGCAGATGATCACTGGAGATGGAAAAAACCAGAAAACACATTTTTTGCGCTCTTAAATCAAAATTCTAAAGGGAAGTATAATTCCAGAAACAGACGCAGCCTTCCCCACATACCTTGCAAGAAGCACTTATTAAGAACGCATCCATCTTCATTAAAAAACAATAATAATGACAAACTCCATTCAATAACTAGAAGCATTCAAATCTGAGGAGTTACTTCTGACATTACATTATGACGTGCCTTAGAATCATGCTTTTAAACACCTACTTAAATCCTCTTGGAGAGGATGTCTGGAATTTTGGGGGTACACTTGTATTGATTAGTGTTAACACACTCTACATGGGGCTGCCTTATAACTTCATTTGGACATTTCAGTTACAGGAATAGTACATAGTACAGATTCACTTTTGTACCCACTGCATTAGCTGCCTAGTTACTTCCAAGCTCAATTCAAAGTGCTGATTTTGACCTGTAACACCTTTATATAATCCCTCCCAAGAACTGAGATCTTCCACAGAAGCCCTTCTTACTACTGCTTCAGGAAGGTATTCATTAGGTGACACTGTCCAAGTAGACCTCTGCCTCTAGAACTCCTTCCCCCAGGAGATTCAGCTGCCTCTTTCTTTTCTGGCAGTTAGATAGGCAGCTAAAGCTTTATTTTTTAATAAAATAGCCTGGCACTGCAAGTTTTGCTGTTTACTATTGATTGTTTATATGGTTATTTGTTTGCTACTGCTCATTTAATTTTACTATTCTTAGTGAACGCTGTTCTGATCTTCATAGAGAAGTAGAGTAAGATATAAATAATTTTAAATAAAACAAAAAAGCATTCTGTTACAGGACCCTGCTTGTTGTATACACTGAATTTGCAAAGGCTGTGCATATATATACTCATAAGGCTCCAGCCCATGCTGCTTCACATTCCCTTTCCACAGCAGCACAGCACATTATTATACTATGCGCTGGAAAAAAATGTGCTTCATATATCTCCTTTTTGTGCTTCCAGTGTATTCTTGTGTGAAGTAAGGACATGTGCATCTCCAAGAATAAGCTTCAAAAGTGCACACCCTTCAGTGCTTCCTGCCATGCACAAAGCATTGTAAATTGGGTGTTGGATAAGCAAGTCTTATGGTTCTGGTGCTTTATTCATAACACTTGCAGGTTCCAAATAATGGTGACCTTTGTGCAACTCGGGCAGAGGTCATTTCCACTACAACAGCTGTCTTCATAAAACACAATTCACCACAGATTGTTGTAATGGCCAGAACAACCCATTGAAAGAATATGTCACCTGGGAAGGCAGAGGATACAAGACATCTGTAGCTGGCAAGGTACAAAGAAAAGTTTCATTTCTGATCTTTGGCACAGCAATTATTCTCTTCTTGGAAATAGATTTTGACACTATGTGTGTTACCTTCCTTCCATCTTTATTCTATATAACTGGTGCTTGATGCAGATTTTTTTTAAAAAAATCCACTCTGGATCTTTGTCATGTGATGATTTTAATGTGTATCTGAAGTCATTATATTGTGGAATGCTTGGGTTTTCCTTTCGAAACCGAAAATAAAGTCTCCTTGTCATGCAAATATATATAGGCTCCCCCCCCCATAACAATAACAAAAACCACAATCACAGACAGAACATGGTGTTTTGTTGACTCCTGGTCATGATCTCAAACAATTACATTATATTGGGCTGAACTACTTTTGCTGAACTCAGACTACATTAGATTCAACTTTTATAGCTTTAATGATCAGATTTCAATAACATACAATTGCATTAAACCAACAGGATTATAGTTACCCAAGTTATTTTCAATTGCTTCCTTATGCCTAGGTGCGACGTAGATAATTTTCCAGTCTAGCACCGTCTCTGAGTTAATTATATATGTATTGATCAAGAAGTTCATTTACTTTTCTTAGATAAGAAACTACATAATCCCAAACCTTTGAGTTCAGCACATTACGAACTTTGCTCTCAGAACTGAATACTATTATGTGCATTTGTGTGTATTACTTTACTATGTTTTCAGAAGATCCTTTTTCAGGTTAAAATGAAAATCAAATGTTGGTATTTTGCCAAAGTTGTTTTCAAGCACCACCCCATTAGCTGGGAGGCCCCCCACATTTATCCTATTAGTTTGCTCTGGATTGCTTCTTTTCCCTACAGAACTACAAATAAACCTTTTTAGTTTTCCATGGTGGTAGCTTTCAAATGTGCAAGTGTCTGGCACTTCATTCCCATTAGTCCAACACTTTGAAATTAAACTATTAAATTTCAATAGCAATGGTGTACATTTACTGAACCATTTCCCTCTTGATCCTTGAAAATCTTGGCTCCAAATTACAACTCAAACCACATTCTCAGTTCTTAACTAGTAACCAAACCAAACCAGTCAGTCTAGCTACTCTAAGTACTCTTTCAAACTCTTCAAATACTACTTTCCTCTCCAAGCAATTACTGCCAGCCAGTTAACAAATCCCTTTGCTTTCAGAAGTACTTCACTAAGACAGGAATCTACTTCAAAATTTCATAAATAGAAAGGTTGAGTTAACCATCAAGAATATTCAAACAACTGCAAAATTACAGCTGCACTATTAGAACATTATGGTAAATGGTTCATTTCTTCTGTCGGTGCCTATAGTAACCCTGAGCTAATTGACTGCGGGATGCAGATGACGATTAACAGCAATTAGTGTTGGGCTTTCAGCATTTCTGGGCTGTTGCTGTTTTCAAACTGCTGTTTGTAATATGTTATTTGAATGCATTCTTCTGTATGTTCTTCCCTGCATGTTGCAATCCTCAGCTGATGTTTTGTTCTAGATCCCTCAACTCCAAGAATCACATCTGGTGGTGAACAGGGCTAGGACATTTTATTTTGTGGCTTCTGTGTGTGGAATGCCTTGCCAAGTGAGGTGTTCTGATAGCTGTTTTGGATTTTGGCTTTCATGATCTGAAGGGAGATCATGATATTGTGGGCGGTGGGGCAAACCCCATAACTCTTGAATTTAGGAAAAGTAAGAATTAATCAAAGTTTTATTAAATTGTGCCAAAAGTTGAAAACTCCCTGGATTTAGCTATGCCAACAACCCAGGCCAACTTGGCACAACCACTAAGATGAGCCATTAGCAGAGGACAAAGGCCATTTCGGAGGCCTAATCTGGCCTGCCAGTCGGTTCAATCTGGCCCCTGTGGCAGTTTATTTCCTAAGGTAAAATCCTTTAAAAAACCTCAATAACTTTGGTCGGCCCCCATGGCCCTTCACTTCATCAAATCTGGCCCTCTTTGAAAAAAGTTTGGACACAACTGGTTTAAGCTTTCAGCTTTGGTGATATAGGCCAGGGATGTCCAACAGGTCAATCGTGATCTACTGGTCGATCCCTGGGAGGGTTTGGTAGATCGCGGTCGATCGCTGGCTCCTCCCCCTAGCCCCTCCTCACTACAGCAGAAGACGGAGCTCTCGTTGCGAGGCTGACTGTTTCATTAGCAACCTCTTGTGAGTGACTTTTTAAATTTATTCCTTTGCCCTGATTCTCTGAAAAAGTACCTGAACCCCCTCTAAAATCCTCCCTAAAAAAAGCTCAACAACCTTGACCTGAAACCCCCCCCCCCCAATGGGTAGATCACTACCAGTTTATAATTGTGTGCATAGATTGCAGTCTCTTCTAAGTTGGCAGTCCCTGATATAGGCTGAAGGAATATTGTGGCATCTTGCAAGAGGTTTGAAAAACTGGGGAGAAGTGGACCTGGCAGAAGTTCTGGTGGGCTAGCTGGGGTAAACTGGAAAAGAGACACAGAGTTTGCTGTTTGGCAACCTTTGAATCCAATGCTGTGCTTCTGTAGGAGAGAAGACCCTCTTGAGATATGAGTCCCAACTGTAGACTCAAGGTTGCATATACAATGGTACCTTGGGTTACATATGCTTCAAGTTACATATGCTTCAGGTTACAGACTCCGCTAACCCAGAAATATTACCTCGGGTTAAGAACTTTGCTTCAGGATGAGAACAGAAATCGTGCAGTGGCGGTGCAGCAGCAGCAGGAGGCCCCATTAGCTAAAGTGGTGCTTCAGGTTAAGAACAGTTTCAGGTTAAGAACAGACCTCCAGAATAAATTAAGTTCTTAACCCGAGGTACAACTGTATGTGTAAATAAAACCATATATCATGAAGACACCATAGTCTCCACTGTGCCTCACTTCCAGAGAAAACACAAATCCTGGTTAAGCACCAAGAACCCCCTGAAATCTTTCGCCACTCGGAGATTGGGGTGGCCTGTAACAATATATTTTGTTACTTTTGTTGTGTTTGGGGTTGAAAGTCACACTGATTTTTTCTGAAAATTGGATGGAAATAGAAATTTTAAAAAGAAATAAATTGATGATAAGCATAATGTTCTGCTCTTTCAAGAAAGATGACTATTTAAAGTATTTTAGTTCATGTGTTAATAGAATCACTCAATATCATCGTGTGATTTTAAAATAAATCATTCTAAACATGCAGAGAAAGAGAATGCTACTAAGAATTTTGAATTCTCTGACCCAATATAATTGGTGTGTGCACATGTGCACTGGCCTATACATACTTGTCCTTAAAAAAGAGGTCTGATCTGTGTAGTTGTTTCTTCCATAGGCAAAGATGTTGGGCAAGATGTTTGTTACCTTTGGCGAAATTACTGGAAAATAGGTCAGGTATGACAATTGCAGGCAGTCATTGTTGCTGAAGGCAGGAAAGGGGCTGTGGAAGCAGAGATTCAACTCTTCCAGGCATGGACAAATTGAAGCTTTGGCAGCTGCTATGTATTCAGAGCCCAAAATCCTTTCCAAAGGCTACAGAAAATAAGTCTTGTTACTGTAGTGGGATCCATCTGGGTTGATTTCTCTAAGCCATTTCCAATATTTAAATTAAGGGAAGCATTTCATGTGTACCTAATCGCTTCTCCCACAGCCGTTCCCCCCGGTTCCTTTTTTAACTGCACATACAAATATTGTGCATATATATATATATATCGTTTGTTTTAGAAATGACCACAAACAGTCCTTCATGATGCAACTACAACGTGGTTGGCTTAAGAAATGCTTAGTTTTTCACTGACTGCCATTAGAATGTTACACAACCTGCTACGAATAAAATGTTTAGCAAGCACTTGAGGTGAATGCTATTCCCAATGCATTGTGGTCTCAAAATATATTAGCATTATTTGGCTGTGCCCCTTTGTAATCATATGTTTTAAACTGTTCTGAAAAGCATTGTTGTTTTGCATTTTAGCTTAATTCCTGAATACATCTTCCTTAACATTTTCCCTTGCTACTATCCAGCTTTCAACACTTCTAAAAGTGGCAGGGCAGGGCGATACGCAGGCCTGAGAAGACTGGGATCTGCTGCCACTACAGATTACAATCTCAAAGTTATACAGGGAGAATTTTCATTGTAGCCTGCTGGTGAAAACTGCTCCCTTTTGTAGTTACAGTAACTCTTCCCTGCACGTTCTCTCCTTCTGCATTTTCAACTATTTTAAGTATTGTCATGAAGTGGTCAGAGCTCCTGTTATCCTTTTCCTAAAATTGAGGAAACCCTCTTCCCAAAGCATCTACAAGGGCAAAGAATCTCACATTTTTGGGCTGCAGAAGAGAGACCCCCTCTTCCAACCATCTCGTCCTCTGGCGTCCCCTTCTTGTGCCCTCCATCTTTCCCAGCATCAGGGTCTTTTCCAGGGAGTCTTCTCTTCTCATGAGGTGGCCAAAGTATTGAAGCCTCAGCTTCAGGATCTGGAAGGGCTGATTTCCTTCAGAATGGAGAGGTTTGATCTTTTTGCAGTCCATGGGACTCTCAAGAGTCTCCTCCAGCACCATAATTCAAAAGCATCAATTGTTCGGCGATCAGCCTTCTTTATGGTCCAGCTCTCGCTTCCATACATCACTACTGGGAAAACCATAGCTTTTACTATACGGACCTTTGTTGGCAAGGTGATGTCTCTACTTTTAAAGATGCTGTCTAGGTTTGTCATTGCTTTTCTCCCAAGAAGCAGGTGTCTTTTAATTTCGTGACTGCTGTCACCATCTGCAGTGATCATGGAGCCCAAGAAAGTAAAATCTCTCATTGCCTTCATTTCTTCCCCTTCTATTTGTCAGGAGGTGATGGGACCAGTTGCCATGATCTTCGTTTTTTTGATGTTGAGCTTCAGACCATATTTTGTGCTCTCCTCTTTCACCCTCATTAAAAGGTTCTTTAATTACTCCTCACTTTCTGTTACAGCAGGGCTTTGCACGTCCTGAAACCCCTTCCTATCCACCTGCCAAATTTGGCCCTCAATGGAGCCCAAAAGCTGCTGCCTGAATGCCAGAGGAAGAGGCAAAGCAGAGGTCCAGCCATCAGATCTATATTCTGATTATATTCTTAACTAATTTGTAGTGGATATAGCAGTAGCCTCTTCTCACCCTGCTCTGACTTCTCACAATAATTTTCAGTGACAGAGTGTACAAAAATCAACTGCTATGGACATAGTACTACATAGTCTTCAGAAACGTAAGTTCAAAACCCTTGAAATAAGAAACAGATTATGACATTAATGACAATTTGTGTGGTTGTCATTACAACATTGAACATAAATTAAGAAAAAAATGTTGGGGAAACATCATGTTCAGTATAAATGATTTGATTAATTATTAAGCTACTAAATCACCCTTGTTACATTTCAAAGGAACTAGCATTCCTATCAGCAAATTAATTCCCATGCCCAATTTTTGCCACTGGATACTTAGAAGAATGACATATTTTTCTTAGCTGCCTTATTTATGTGGTCTCTTGTCCTCTTTCTGTTTTGGTGTGAAAGCATTAAGAGCTCTCTAGAAAATACAACATTTTTAGTACAGCCAGCTGGCTGCATATTAGACTTTCAAAATGTTGTCTTCATTTCCGCAACAATTTCTTCCATACCATCAAACTCTGAGTCAAATTTAATTTCACGCAATGTGCCCTGCCAATTTCTCAATACAAAAGCACATATAGGAAGAAATCCATTAAAAAGCAATTTGGAATATTCAGAGAGGAAATCTAAGATATTCAAAAAAGGAGGGGAAAAACCCCAATCTATTTAAGCTTAACAATTTAGTGCATGTAATATAATTTGTGTGAATTAATCTAGCATCTAAGCACAGTGGATATAATGAAGTAGTCCAGGTATAATATTTGCAACAGATAAAAATGAAAGTTTTGTACCTTGTAGAACCAGTGGTTTAATGTACACCTTCAGATTACTTAATAAAGGTTATTGAGTTTTCCACGTCATCAAAGGAGGATAGTGAGGAATACAAAAGGCTTCACACAGTGCTGATATATCTAATTGACCTGTGTGTGTTTTATACTGAACGTCCAGAAAATCAGGAAATAGCCAGAAAAATAACATCAGCCTTCATCAACAGCCCTCCAGCTGTTCTGGACTACCGCTCCCATCAGATACAGCCAGCACAACCAGGTGGACTGAAGCTGATGGCAACTTTAGTCCACAACATCTAGAGGGTACCAGGTTAGTAAAGGTTGAATTAGATAAACAATCCTTCCAAAAGCACTAGTTTGCATGGTATTACGGGCCATGTTCTAAAACTATATCTTGGCAAACCTTTGCCAGTTTATACAAACTGCCCTAAAGGACCAGGCGCACAGCTTAGGAGCCATTTTGGACTCACAGCTGTCCATGGAGGCACAGGTCAATTCTGTGTCCAGGGCAGCTGTCTACCAGCTCCATCTGGCACACCAGCTGAGACCCTACCTGCCTAGTTTCGTCAAAATGGAACATGCCCTGGTTATTTCTGGTTATATCTACATGGGGCTACCTTTGAAGGTGACTTAGAAACTACAACAAATCCAGAATGTGGCAGCTAGATTGGTTTCTGGGAGTGGCCGCCGGAACCATATAACACTAATCCTAAAAGATCTACATTGGCTTCCAGTATTTGAAGTGTTGGTGCTGAACTTTACAGTCCTAAACAGCCTCGGCCCTGTATACCTGAAGAAGCGTGCCTACTCCCATCATTCAGCCCAGACACTGAGATCTAGCTCTAGAAGTAAAGTTACAAGGAACCAGGCTGAGGGCCTTCTCAGTAGTGGTGCCCACCTTGTAGAATGTCCCTCATCAGATATCAAACAGATATTCCCTATACAGGGCTGCCTTCAAATGTCTTCTAAAAGTCATATAGTTATTTATGACTTTTAGAAGACATTTGAAGGCAGCCCTGTATAGGGAAGTTTTTTATGTTTTATAGTGTTTTTATAATTTGCTGGAAGCCGCTCAGAGTGGCTGGTATAACCCAGTCAGATAGGCGGTGTACAAATAATAAAATTGTTGCTGCTGATAGGAATGAATGAATCTATTCCTCATCTTTATCAATTCCATATTCGGTTTCCACATTCATCTTTCATTTCAAAACAATCCTCTCAAAATAGTAAGGTAACGGTAAAGGGACCCCTGACCATTAGGTCCAGTCGTGGCCGACTCTGGGGTCGCGGCACTCATCTCGCTTTATTGGCCGAGGGAGCCGGTGTACAGCTTCCAGGTCATGTGGCCAGCAGGACTACACCGCTTCTGGCGAACCAGAGCAGCACACGGAAACGCCGTTTACCTTCCCGCTGGAGCGGTACCTATTTATCTACTTGCACTTTGACGTGCTTTTGAACTGCTAGGTTGGCAAAAGCAGGGACCGAGCAACGGGAGCTCACCCCGTTGCGGGGATTTGAACCGCCGACCTTCTGATCGGCAAGTCCTAGGCTCTGTGGTTTAACCCACAGCGGCACCCGCGTCCCCTCAAAATAGTAGTTAAATGCATATTTTATCTCAAAATACACTTCTATATTCTAATTTTGATGAATTTAAACTACCAAGAAGGGTATCATGGCATCTGGTAAAGTCAGACTGAGAGGTGAAAATCAGGCCATTTTCATATAGGAAATTAAAATTTTCATATAGGATTTTTAAAAAATAGACAACTGAAGCTATGTCCAATAATCAAGGCATTTTCACACAGCAGAAAGCAGAACTACAAACAGACGGCAATTCTGCCCCCTTTATACCACAGGGATGGCTCTTCTGTCACTCACTTCTCACTCCCTAGGCTAGGGCATGAACCCACGCAGGATCAACCTGAATGGATCTCATTAGTCATTTAACCTGAAAGTACTGTTTAAAAAAAGTTAGAACTGGTTATGAGGCACTTTATCACACAAATGGTTTCCTAGATTTTCAACAGAATTTCAAATCTGTCCTGGGAAGCTGAGAACAGAAGGTACTGCTGAGGCATCAAAGATCCTTTAAAACCCATTCATTCTAATGCTAAAGCAGCAGAGAAACCCAGCAGACCTTATTCCATTAGAAGCTGAGGAGGACAAAAAGAAAGCATACTCCCCAAAGCCTCGTCTGGGATATGTGCAGCTGCCCTTAATGTTTCTTTGAAATTCCTTTGTTTCAGAGGGAGATCAGGAGATCATGCCCTTTGTACCTCAGTCAGAAATATCAGCTACGGCTGGAACAGAAGGAGCAAATTAAGTTTTGACTCAGCATTCCTGCTAAAAATCAAGCACAAAGATGTTAGAATCCGGACATTGGCCTGCAGACCCGGACGGGGCCAAGCTCCTCACTTTAACCAGTACAGGGAATAAGATATGCTCTGTGGCATGGCTGCCTAGCTTAAAACCTGGTACCTTCCAGAGGTTTTTAGATTACAACTCCCATCAGGCGGAAGGCGTCAGGATGGAGAAGGCTGACAGATCTTGCGAAACGTGTACTTCTACACTTGACATCAAAATAATTCTGCTTGTTCCTGCACCATTTAGGGGATGGAACATGTGATGCAAACAAAAAAAATAGGCATTTGAGACCTCCTTTGTGCATATACTTCTACGGCTGAAGAACAGCAAAGCTGAAATAAGGCTCAGGGGCCTGAAGCTTTAAGAATGCAAGCAGTCACACAAAACATTCATTTGGGGCAGTAGTAGAAGAAGAGGAGGAGGAGTTGGGATTTGATATCCCGCTTTATCACTCCCCTTCAGGAGTCTCAAAGCGGCTAACATTCTCCTTTCCCTTCCTCCCCCACAACAAACACTCTGTGAGGTGAGTGGGGCTGAGAGACTTCAGAGAAGTGTGACTAGCCCAAGGTCACCCAGCAGCTGCATGTGGAGGAGCGGGGAAGCGAACCCGGTGCACCATATTACGAGTCTACCGCTCTTAACCACTACACCCCACTGGTTCCCAAGTAGTAGCTGTCTGGATTAAACAGGGCCTGTAAACTTAAAGCTCATTTCATTAGTAAGAAGCCAGGCTGCATGTATATTTCTATGGCTGCGTTCAGACAGAAGATTTACTATCTTAGTTTTACCTCTCATAATGCCAATGCTTCTGTTTCAATTTCTAATATTTGTTTTACACTGCAGCATCCGATGTGCTATGGAACTGTGGCTTTTTGATCAATATACTGCCATGTTGAGCTACATTTTAAATGAATAGGAAATAACCGTATGCCAGGACACTGCCCCAAATTCTGTCACATGAGTGGCACCCCCACCAACCTATTTTTTCAGTTAATGGGGTTTAAAGTTTTCTGAACAGCTACTAGGTAGGGGCTGTGACTGGAGAGGCAACCAGCTGACTCACGCGTATTTTGGCACCTGTGTGAGCCAGCCAGCAAGCCGGCTGAAATACCTCTCAATTTTCTGTTGAAAGATGTTGGAAGGTATATCTATATGGGATGCTGCTTGAGTTCCCCTTAACTTTATGTTGGTATAGGTTTCAGTGAATGTACTGATACTTCTTCACTTTTGTTATAACAGCTCATAAAGGCAGCTTCCAACAGGGAGAGCTGACCCCAGAGTTAGCTCCCAGATAAACCTCATATATAAATACAGTCAACTGTCTTTCAAGCTTCAGTTCTGCTGAATGAATGTCCAAATCCCCGCCCCACTTGTAAAAGAAACAGGAGCGAAACATTGATTTCGGACTTAAGGAATTACTGAGTCGAGTCATGGATCTTCTACAGCTACGAGAGCTATAAATTCTAGCACAATTTTTACTGCGAAAAAATTAATAAGAAGGCTTTTATATTTCTTTCACAGCAACTTGTTCTTGTGTATGTTAATAAAACTGGTTTCTTGATTAAGTGCTCCAATCACAGGGAATTCCTGCAGCCCACAGTGGTCTTGTTCAATTTATTAAGAGTGTGTAATTTGGTGAGAACAGAAAACTAGTAGAGATGTAATGTGATCCACATGCTCTACCCCAAATATTTTTTCTACCTAAAACAAAGCCCACTGGTGCTGGCTGCACCCCCCATCTCAACGGCAGGACTAAAAGGTAAAGGGTAAAGGGACCCCTGACCATTAGGTCCAGTCGTGGCTGACTCTGGGGTTGTGGCGCTCATCTCGCTTTATTGGCTGAGGGAGCTGGCGTACAGCTTCCGGGTCATGTGGCCAGCATGACTAAGCCGCTTCTGGCAAACCAGAGCAGCGCACGGAAACACCGTTTACCTTCCCGCCGGAGTGGTACCTATTTATCTACTTGCACTTTGACGTGCTTTATAACTGCTAGGCTGGCAGGAGCAGGGACCGAACAACGGGAGCTCACCCCGTTGCGGGGATTCGAACCGCTGACCTTCTGATCGGCAAGTCCTAGGCTCAGTGGTTTAACCCACAGCACCACCCGCATCCCTAACGGCAGGACTAGCCCAGGCTAATTCAGGCACCAGTAGCATCCTGAGCTCACCGCAGCCCAGCCCTCTCTGTTTTCTGCTGCTTCTCAGTCAAAATTTACATTGTAAGCTGCTTGGGAACTGGGAACTGTCTTTTTTTCCCTACTTATGAAATGCTGCCTAGCCCCATATAAACGCATGGTACTGACAGTGTATTCCATTATATATTAATAAATACAGAAGGTGTGCATTGAAATGGTGAACACTTTCCTTTCAAAATAAGGATCAAGAACATCCTATACCCACATCAAACTAGAAGTATGCTAGTCTGATGGTATGGTAAAAATGTAAGGCTTTTGATGCTTCATAAGTGGTTTTTATTGCTGCCTTGAAATGAAGAGCAGGTGGCCGAACTTCATTTTCTGACCCTCGTGGCTGCTTTGTTGATTATCGGTGTGTTTCAAAGCTTTGTTCTTTTCAATTGTTAGAATCTCAGAAAAAAATATATTGCAAGTTTTCTTCTAGTTTTCACAGAGAACTGCTGACTGCCCACCTGTGTAATATCATCCCAGGAAATATGGATGTTTGTGAAGAAGTTGACCCTGTTTCACACAGGATTGAAGTAATTGTTATCATGCTGTTCTGGTGGCAACACTGGCTCGAATACGGTTTGCTGAGCAGAGATTTATATTCCTCAAGCGCTCACAATGGGAAGATTAAATAAATCCATGTAAATAAAATCTATTTCAGAAATTATCACTTACAGCACTAGAAATGACTGGATGTCAACTTTACTCTTTGAAATTCTGAAAATGCTATGATAGCACTTTATTATAAAAAGAGATCACTTTCCTTCATATGCTAACTCACCACCATGTTTTGGTCAAAGAAAATGATGTTTCACTTGACATTCATATTAGGTTATTGCACTCTAAAATGTTAATTAATTTCTAGATGATGGCCTCATGCATAAAAATGTATTGGCAAGAGTAAATTACTTTTTGAAAGAAAAGAAATCAACAATAAACTGCATTAGACTGGGTAATCAATGTTTATTGAATTTTGTGCTGGAGGCCAGTTTCTCTGTCAACAAAGGTCCTTCAAACACAGATTTTCACTTCAGCTTTAATGAACAAGGGTGGAATCATGAATTGAAATAAAATGCAGAAATAATAAACTATTACTTTCCTTTTCAAGTCCTACTTGAAAGCAAACTGAAAATACAGCAAAATAGTATATACGAAACACAGATTTATTAAAAACATTTCTGTGTATACTGCTTTATAAGCAAATGCTTTATTTTCCTGGCAAAGAAAGCATGAAATAATAATAAAATCTAACTGAGCTAGATAACAGTGGTTTTTTAAATAAAAAAAAACCATTTAGAATTACGTTGTAATTATCATTTAGTTATTCACCAAAACTCAACATAGTTAGTTCAGACCAGAATTCTCAGAATGCTCTTAGATCCATCTCATGTTATTTTTCCTGTAATCTGATTAACAACGCAGTAATCTGAGTCTGAGTTACTTTAAAGTTAATTTATATTTTCTGCATTTATGTGGTTGGGGGCGGGGAGGACATATTCTCAAATTTACAGTAACACAAGGTGGTCTGAGGACTCTGCTGAATTTGAGGCACTTCCAAAAATGTAAGGAGCCCTTCTGTTTACAGAACTGATATTCTGGATCCAACCCACTAAACCTGACCTGCAGTGCTATTATTCGAGAAAAAAGAGGTGCTGGAACTCACCATGAACTCACTCATTGTCTTAGAATGACAATGGTGCCCACCTGAGAGGTGCCGGAACTGAGTTTCTGTGAGTTTCCCAGAAAAAACCCCTGACTATACATCTGCAACAGTATCATACTACTTTAAACAGTAATTGCTTGTCATATAGAATCCAGGGGACTGTAGTCTGTTAAGAGTTGTTAAAAAGGTAAAGGGACCCCTGACCATTAGGTCCAGTCATGACCGACTCTGGGGTTGTGGCGCTCATCTCGCTTTACTGGCCGAGGGAGCCGACGTACAGCTTCCAGGTCATGTGGCCAGCATGACTAAGCTGCTACTGGCGAACCAGAGCAGCGCACAGAAACGCCGTTTACCTTCCTGCTGGAGCGGTACCTATTTATCTACTTGCACTTTGACGCGCTTTCGAACTGCTAGGTTGGCAGGAGCTGGGACTGAGCAACGGGAGCTCACCCCGTCACGGGGATTCGAACCGCCGACCTTCTGATTAGCAAGTCCTAGGCTCTGTGGTTTGTTAGAGTTGTTAGGAGACCCCTATTGCCCTCACAGAGCCAATTCTCAGAGTAGTTTAATAGTCAATACCTTTCCCCAGGGAAATCTGGGAATTGTAGCTCTGTTGCATGAACCTGCTTTTAATGTATAATGCAAATGGGGCCTGAGTTCTCAGTGAAGCCCTGCCCATCTGTCAAATGTGGCCTGCAGAGAGGGTTGGTCACTATTTGATCTGGCCCTATGGCCAAAACTTTGTCCCTACCTCTTTCTTGGTATTGAAGCGAAAATAATTGTTCATTTGATCAGATGCACATTTATTAAATTCCACCCTTATTTTATCTGCCATGTATTCACATAATATAGTAATAACATGTGACCTGATCTTGGACAAATCAACTATTGTTTTGCCTCAGTGTCCACTTACCGTGAAATGAGTTCAATGGCCACTAAAGGATATAAATGCAATACATTTCATATTGTTCTATTATGCTACTTGTGAACCAACCTGAGAGGGCGTTTTGCCTGTAAAGGCAATACAATAATACCTAAATATATAAGCGTGTATTTTAAATATACATTACAATACCTAGGTGGTGTGTAGCTTGTCCCACCACTTTTGTATTGTGGAGATATCTGCTTCCATGCATTTTTAATAGAATAGATGTCGGTGTCTCCTAACTCCCATTTTCAATTTTACAATTCCTTCCTACATATTTTCTGCCAGGTTTGTGATTAAGTAGGAGGCTTAAACATCCTCAAACCTTACTCCATTCCTTTGGGACCAGAGAAAACGCACTTTTGGTAGGTAAATTCCAGCAGGATAGTTTTATATTAAAGAAAAACACTATATTGTGGTATAAACTTTACAGATGAGAAACAACTTCCAACAGGTGCAATACTAGCTACTAATGAAACAGAATGAAATATTCCCTGCAGTCTGAGAAGAACATTTCAATATAGTGTAAGGCAAGATTTATCATTAGTGTTACCCTCTGAAATAACCTAGATTCTTTCATTAGGCAAGATGTATGTATTTTAACAATAAGGTTTTCACTGCATCTGGAGAGACAATTAAGAAACTAGTCACAGGTTATATAGCCTGTGAATAAAGTGCTGAATTTGCAAATCTTAGTTTGAATTTCACATTCTGCACAGCTTCTCTGTAAATCGAACTACTCCCCCAACTTTAAGTCAAGGCATTCCCAGCTGCCCCAGGTTAGGGTTGCCATATTTCAAAAAGTGTTTGTGCCTTTCCATGTCAGTGGGCTATCATCTACTTGACTGAGTTCAACATAACTAAGGTATGATAAAATAAAACTTCAGTGATGCCAACAACTCACACATCTTTAAGACATGCTATATGATACATGATATAAACAATAAAAGCAAAGCATCGCCCAGTGCAGGTATTTATTTGCTGGAATGCAATCTTGAACAGTAGAAAAATTAAAAATGATGGCACGTAAAAAGTATACTGCAAACAGACCCCCTACCAGGGCCGTCTTAAGCATATCCGGCGCCATGGTGCAAAGATCCCTCCAGCACCCCCACCTCCCCATTTCCCAGAGTTGTTGACCTTTTCCCAAGCCTCTGCGGGGATTGCTCTCCTCCCACGGAGGCTTGGGAAGGAAGCTGCACGCCTGCAAGCCATATGGCTGGCAGGGCGCAGCTGGCGGGCGTGCAGGGAAGGGGATGGCCTGGCTGTGAAGGGCGCTGCTGCTCCTGAAGGGACAGGAAACGCTGTGGAGGGTATGAGGGCACCCACGCGAGAATAACAGTTACAGGCACACACAAAAACACACACCAAGTTTAGAATATTACACCGGGCAACAATCTTTTACTTTCTGAATGTTGTCTAGATTTCTACAACCGATTTAGGGTATTTTTGCACTGCTGAATCAGGAAATGGCATCCGTTTCTCTCCATCAGGTCAGGTTTTCTGTAAACTGAATGGTGGGCATTGATAAAGGTAAGTACACGTAAATTGCATGTTGCTTCACCATTTTTCAAACTTCAGGGCTTGAACTTCTGTTTCTTGGAACTCCTGGAATGCTTAGCGGCAGGGAGGTCTCTCTTCAGAGTCCCACAGTAGTCAGCCATCATGACTGTGTCCCAGCGACCCTGATACCTGGTCTCCATCTCTTTCATGTCCTGATGGAATCTCTCCCCCTGCTCGTCACTCATTGAACCCAGGTTCTCAGGAAACTGGTCCATATGTGAAAATAGGTAGTGCATCTTGACGCTCATGTTGCAGCCCAGGTTTCTGAAAGCAGTCAGCATGTTGTTGACAAGTTCTGCGGAGTTTCTGGCCTTATTGTTGCCAAGAAAGTTCTTCACTACCAGAACAAATGCCTTCCACGCTTCCAGTTCCACTTCGTTCATTGACTTTCCGAACTCTGGATCTCTGATGAGCTGATGGATCTGAGGACCGTCAAAGATGGCAGCTTTCAACTTCTCCATGGTCAATCCTGGAAAAGCCTGGCACAAGTAAATGAAGCAGTCACCATCCTTGTCCAGAGCCTTGGTGAACTGCTTGATTAAGCCGAGCTTGATGTGCAGCGGGGGGAAGAGTATTCTGTCTCTGTCCACCAGAGGGTTGTTGATGACGTTCCTTTCTTTGCAAGGCACCAATTCCTCCCGCACAGGCCAGTCCTTCTTCGTGTAATGCTGAGCACGGTCCCTACTATCCCACATGCACAGAGAACATGGGTACTTGGTGAAGCCAGCCTGTTGTCCCAACAAAAAGTTCACCATCTTCAGGTCAACACAAATAAACCACTTATGCTGATCATAACCAATTTTCTCCAGCACATACTTCACCGCTTCATAGTTCTCCTTCAGTGTACTCGAGTGAGCCAGGGGTATAGAGGCAAACTGGTTGCCGTTGTGTAGCAGAACACATTTCAGTGATCGCTTGCTGCTGTCAATGAACAGTCTCCAATCTTTGGGTTCATACTGTGGCACTCCAAGCTTGAGCAGAAGCTGCGCAATATCTGCACAGTACACCAAGTCCTTCTCTTAAAAACGGAGGTACTCTTGATGCCTGTTGCGCAAGAAGCTGATGCAAGCACTGTCAGAGAGGAGGTTTTTTTCCTTCAATCTGGATGCCAACAGTTCGGCAGAGTCCTTTGACAAGCTGAGGTCGCGAACTAGATCATTCAACTCCTTTTGGGAAAATGGATGTGGAGCATCATCTTCAAGAACCACTTCTTCTTCTTCATGTCCTTCAACACTGGAGCCATCTTCGTCACTAATGTCAGGAAGTTCTCCGAAGATAGGCACTGGAATTTCATCATAATGAGCTACAGGACGACATGCTGATTGAAGATCAGGATACTTCGTGGGGCGGCTGCCCCATTAACTTAGTTTTGATCCCCCAACTTTATGCTTTGCTGGACCAATTTATGGAAGATTTTGAGGTTTTATGACTTCAAACTGATCCCTTTTTGACATAATCACCCAGAACTATCGGACCTGAATACTTCTTGTCATTAAAATAATCATTTCCAATCAAAACAATTATTTGACAAGGCATTTTACCCCCACCAACTTCTTCTAAAATGCTCCACACAAGCGTACATGTGAACAAAAATGTAAAAAAGACATGTGGCCATAGCTCAAAAACTTGACCTGATTGAGCAAAACCAATGTGATTTTTGGATTCAGCGCATCAGATTCATCCTAAATCAGCTGAAAAAACGCAGACAACAAATTTGTTGTTGACCAGTGTTATAGTCGTTTGGGTGCAGCTTCCATCCAAGGCCTCTGCAGGGATCGCTCTGTTCCCATCGAGGCTTGGGAGGCAAGCTGCACACCCATGGTTGGTGGGGCAAAGCTGGCAGGCGAGCAGGGAAAGGGGAGGCCGCTGGCAAAGCTACGCAGCTCCCCCACTTGCTGGGGCGCCCCTGAGAGGCCGGCGCCCTGGCGCAATGCACCACTAAGCCCAATGGGAAAGACGGCTCTGCCCCCTACAATATCACAAGCTGCATATCACAGCAATAAGCAAAAAGTCTTATCTGGTTGCTTTCTCAGCCCTCCATTATTATTTTTTTTGATACCATGCTCAGAGTGCACAGTTATTACACACCCCAGCTATAGCCCAAATACAACTTTAATGCAATTCATTTTAATGAGCCACACACATATTCATGGAATCAAAAAGATTATACTACGGAAAGAACAACTGGGTCAGCTAAACCCACAGGGCCCAGTGCAAATTTTAAAAAATTGTAAAGTCACAGACAATTACTGTGTAGCACATCACATTGATATTGTGACATAGAGCGAGCTGAATTTAGCTGAGTCCTACATTCAAATGCCTATGTGTTCTGCTTGTTATTCTTCAGCTTAACATTTTATTGCCCTTTTCTGCAGCACCTTTTTTCAGTAAAGAGTTTCAGTTTTTTGAACGTTTCATACTTTTGGGGAGGGGTGACCTGATGCAAATCAACAAGTTGACAACATCCCTCAGAAATCCCATATTTTGTTGTCGTCATGCATGAGCAGGAATACAAAAGCTTCATGCCTTTTAACAGACAGACACTATGACCAATTTTAAAGACTTTGAAGAATGAATAGGATAGGGATTTTTCATAGCTACCTCTTCTTTTGTATGATATTTAAAACAAATAGTGTTATTTGTTTTTCATTTTGTTTAAAGTATTTTAAGCCGCTTTTGGGAGCCATGCCCTCACAAAATGACATACAAATGGACAGATGAGGTGCAACAGAAAAACAGTCACACCAGAACAGCTCTACAGATTAATTTGAGAATCTGCTGTGGAGATACAAGCTACTTCGAGCATTAGTTAAAGGGAAGTGTGAAGAGGAAGACCCTCAAGGACCACCTAAATGCCAGAACTGAAAGTGCAGGCAAAAGTCCGTTAGTAGCATGACAAAAACTTGCATGGCACTATTTGAGAGAATTCCAACAGTAAAACTCCAACTGATTTCATGAAGCAGAACTGGCACCTTTGGTAGTTAAAACAACAATAATATAATAATACATTTAGCTATTATTCTAGAAAGTCAGTCATTGTGAACAGAAATGCGTGTGTTTGTACAATGAGCAGTTTCTCATTTAAACATAATGGCCCATGAGTCCTCTGAATTGCAACAATGACCTTACACTATTTTGTTCAGTCTCTGGAAATAATTTTTGTGACACATAATCCATCCTATCGAATTCACAGCCCTATTAAAATTCTAAGTAATTCAGACGTCAAAGTATTAGTCCTTTATAATAAAAAGTGGCATGTTTTTGACTCTTCTATGCCATATTTTAAAAACATCTCTTAAGGTTGAAAATCTTTCCTGTATATTTTCTAATATTGTTATAACATTACCATTTGTCTCTGTTCTTTTTAATAGCTACATTCCATAACCAAAACTATCTTTGCTTTGCTCTCAGTAAAAGGATGTTTGAAATTCTTGTTCTTGTAACATGTAAAAGAGTTTAAACAATGAGGAAATTTACTAATGTAATATGAAATGTATCACAGCTACTCTGATTCTGGTACAGTTCATTTGGAATTTAAGGAATGTATGTCATACATCTTCAATTATCTCTGCTTATCTCCATGTATTTTACTCTTTAATGTTATTTTATTGTATTTTTATTTGTGTTTAATGAATTCATTATTAACCAAAACTAAAGAGAATTTTTAAAAATGAAATATATCAAAAACACTACCTGGAACTACAAGAAAATCCGATGATCCTAGCTTTTGTGGAAGCTGCCTTAATAATTAATGAACAGGTTTAACTGTTGTTAAATACAGAGCATGAGTTTCCAGGTTTCAGCAAGCAATCCTTCCTTCAATGTTAAATCTAACAGTGGCACCTTAACGACAAACATGAAATTCCACTATTACCCAGTGGAAAATTCTTGTTCTTTATTTTAGAATCCCACTGGATGTGTTCAGAACTCCTATACCAGTTGTGCTAAACTCATTCCTTTTATTTCTCAAAAAGAATTCTGATACATGTGAGCCAACTGTGCAATTAGCTACATGTTTCTTCACCTAGGGCAAGCAGAAATTGCCCTGAGTGAGTAGCAAATGTCAACAGCTCTTACGGTAGTATTTTCTTTTGGTTCATAAAGGCAGTTGGAGCGGTATCATAGGTGTCTCTACCCAACCAGGAGAAGTTGTACACAAAGCCCTATTTGGGTGTTTCTGCCAACACATGAGTGGGAAACATAATGATGCTGAGTGCCTGTCCAAAGAATACGAATGTCTGAAGAGGGGAGCCTTCACACATGCAGGCTCCCACACAATCTGGAAGGATAAGCAATCAGAGTTCCACAATGGGTGGGAACCCCTACACATTAAGAATTCCTCCTCCCTTCAAATACAGTGGTACCTCTGGTTATGTACTCAATTCGTTCCGGAGGTCCGTTCTTAACCTGAAACTGTTCTTAGCCTGAAGCACCACTTTAGCTAATGGGGCCTCCTGCTGCTGCCGCATTGCCGGAGCACAATTTCTGTTCTCATCCTGAAGCAAAGTTCTTAACCCAAGGTACTATTTCTGGGTTAGCGGAGTCTGTAACCTGAAACATATGTAACCTGAAGCATATGTAACCCGAGGTTGCACTGTATTTCCATTCTACATATGGGACATGGGGAGAAGGGCTACTCAGTATAATCCAATTTCCTGCTTGCATGTTGATGTTTACCAGGAGTAGGATGCCCCTAGATAGAGCTGTTGCTACTATTGTGTTGTGAAATACAAGAATATTGCACAGGGGAAAAAACGTAGTGTTGATTGGGAGACTTGCATCATAAAATTCAAAGAAGTGAAACTTTCAAAGGATAACTTTGAAAGTTTTCCTCGCCGTATTATTTCAGGAAGGGTGACAAGCAGGCTTGCAGTGATATGTGAACCAAGCCAAATTTCTCCCCCACCCTTAGTTGTAATCCACTTCTGCTGTTTCATCAAAAGAACCTTGGGCATTTTAGGCTGATTAAGAGAGCTTATATATTTATGTTAAGTGATCGCTGGGACCTTTACAGGACCACAGTCATCAAGATTTAAGTGTGATGTGGAATTGCCCTGAGTATTCCACACACTGCGTTCAAACTTCTCTTCCTCTTGGCCATGCCCTCTGTCTTTCTCTCTCCCCAATTCTCTAGACGCCTTGGGGAAATTCCCTAGACATATCAGAATTCCACCCAGAAACCATAAGACCTCAGGAACACAACATTCAAATTAATCCCCTACCAGTGAAAAGGACACATGGCATTGAAAGCCGAAAGTCAGGCCAAAAACCTAATCAGGTAGTGATATGGAAGTTGTCTACTTCAAGTATGAACTGGTAAGAAAGGAAATTGATATATTATTTAAAAATGGAATACTCCATCCCTCATCATATAAGGAACCTTGGCAGCTGTGACCATTTCTGATTAAGGCAGCGAGTTTTTGCATCTCCTTCTTTGCCTGAAGAATAAATACCTAAAAGTGGTGAAGACATATTACTTGTATTAATACAATAGTAATATTAATACATATTACTGGTTGCAGATGTAGGTTAGTATTGACATTATGGTTTATAAATGCATGTTGGCTAGCCATATTACACCACAACTGTGCCCCATTTCCACATGTAAAGCACAGCACCTCCTAACACATCCCCATAATCAAGTACCCTGTCGTAACAATGGAATGGCAAAGCTTAGTACCAAGCAATCTCTGCTGATTAATCATCCTGCTTTACCCAAATCTTTACCTATTTTCTGTTTGTCCAAAATTGCATAGGTTTGGTTGTAGAAAACTGCAGAAACTTGATTTTTAAAAGTTTGTATAATTTAATAAAGTCATAGATAGATAGATAGATAGATAGATGATAGATAGATAGATAGATAGATGATAGATGAAAGAAAGAAAGAAAGATATAGACTAGTTCATTGTTCATTTCAACTGCTGGCTGGAAGTACATGATCTACATTTTGAGCCAGACTTTAATGAAGGTTAAATAAAAAATTTAAAAGCCTTGCATTACAGCTTCAGCTGGTTTTAGTTACTTAGAAACTCATAATTCCATTAGTTCTCTGGTCATGCCCCAGACTGAAATACTTTCTAATGGAAAGAAGACAGATTAAATCTTTTTTGTTGGGAGAAGGTATGGATTGAGATGAATGACACAGTTTTGGGCTGTTTATATAACAAGGCATATTCAAGAGTTTATATTCAGGTCAACTCTGATCACGACACAATAGACTTCTAACAGAATGGAAATTCTAGCAGAAGTACACACATTCTTATTAGGACATATTATATTAGGGCATTAAGAATATGCATTAAAACTCTCTCTCTCTCTCTCTCTCTCTCTGTGTGTGTGTGTGTGAGAGAGAGAGAGAGAGAGAGAGAGAGAGAGAAAGAGAGAGAGAGAGAGACCACTGTTTTAAATCTCCTGATTCTTCAAATTCATTTTGAATTTCCTTCATTGTAATAGAATTCCCATTTATCTGCACCCATAGATTTTTGCATGCAGTGGCAGAGCTGCCATTTTTAACCTTCTGCTTTCATAACAATAGGACTTTTATGGAACTTGCTTAGGAAATTGTCCCGTGCCTAGAAAACATGGGTCCAAGTAGTTTTCTATTTGCCCCACCAATTTCACCAGGAAATTAGTGCTGAATTAGTGCTGAATCGGAGCAAACATAAATCCACAGAAAACCCCTGATGTTTGCTCTGATTTAGTGCTAAAAAGCAGGTTTTCCCAGGGCAAACAGAAGTCTGGTGCTACTACATCTGGGGCTGTTTTTTGCAGCAGTCTGACTCTTCCCATATCTGCTACAGTAGATGTGCTGGGTAGGCCTCCTAATAATAGATGGAGTGAGAGTCTTCTTAGTAGGGGTGAATTTCAAGCAGGCCAATCAGTTATATCATTTTTTTTCATTTTAGAGATGCATAGGAGGGGGGCCTTTTTTGGCACAGCTATAGTTCTGGATTAGGATTGGCCGAATGGTGCAGAGAACATTGACAGGAATGCCTCTGTAAATCAAGGAAGTGGGACAAGAAAGAGTGTGATTTTGAGGAGGAAATTAAAAACTGCTTGACATTTTCAGTGGGAGGACTGTGCCCCAGTAGCCCTAATCTCCCCTATTTGTATTTTTGGGATGTTGCCTTGGCTACTCAGAAACAATAAAGTACATGTGAACTATTCATCTAACTAAATGCAACTAATATCCTCCATTAAAATGTGACAAAATTTCTGTAGGCACGCAGAAACAGGAAGGCTATTATCTGTGCAACACAAACTTTGTAGTGGGAGACCTTGGCCATTGCATCCCAAGCTCTACCGGGGGAGGAAAGTCTCAGGAACTTTACTAAAGGTGATGCGGGTGGGAGGTTCTAATAATGTCCCATCACTAGAGAATCATTATGGAGACTCTGCTGGGTGTTACACCTTTGCAAACAACGCAAGAAGAGTTCTGCTGGCTAAAAAGAAAGGCCAGTCTTGTCAAGCAGCCTGGTCCCACAGTAGCCACCCAGATGTCTATGAGAAAACTGTAAACAGGACCTGTAAGGATTTGAGGGAGGCAAGCTTGAATTACCTACAACAGCTCAACAGGTCGCCATGATGTTGTAATTCAACATCCGAATGGCCACAGAACCACCATATGGTGCAGATCAGGCTCAGGCATAGTAACTCAGAACCACCATACGTACAAGCTTCTTAATTTAACTAGAATGTGTGTATTCCACAATCCATGCCTAATACCTTATCACCACAACAGGTATCGCCTTAACATAGGAAAGGCAGCCTTTAAAGATGAGCTACAGAGCTAGGACTCAGCGGCTGACAGTGGGGAGTAAGTTGCCAATGAGCTAAACATACTCTTTTATGTACTCCAGGCAATCACGTTGATCTAGAACTAACCAAGACCCCACCAGTGTTTGATGAATGGAACAACAACAACAAGCAAGCAACCCTGCTGCCAGAACATCCAAATGTAGCAAAAAGGCGTAGAGCAGACATGACTAAGCATCATTTTCAAATGCATTTTAAGTTTACCAGGGTGATCTTGGTGAGGAGAAGATGGTCACTGGGAAATAGAGTGGAATAACCCTTTTAATAAAGTGAAACGACCCAATTATAATCTCTCTTTTGTCATGATGAGTGTGCGCCCGACGTGTCATTACAATGAAACAAAACTGCACAGGATTCTACAGTTACTTTGAACACAATAGTAAATGTCAGATGCAAATGTGCACAGTTGACATGGTTTGTTTGCCTAAAATCAGCATGCAATTTGGCAAACATGTAGGCTTTGGGGGAATCTGTGGAAAGAGAACAGAAAGCTTTCTAGGCAAGACAAAAATTATGTTGTCTGTTTCACAAAAATTATCTTGTCTCATTTTTTAAGACACAGTCTTTAGAAACTATGGGGGGTACATAATAAAAGAGAAGGCGCACAGTCAGGTTACTGGACTCCTTTCCCCTACCTCCAGAACAGAGACAACAGAGATATTGTGTTATATTTACTGCCTTGATTGGCTGAAGCATGATCATGTAAAGTCAACATTTTGGAAGCATATATATTTTGAGTTTGTTCAGGCTTCTTTATTCCATGCTTTACAAGAAATGGTAAGCAGCAGGCAGGACAAAGGCATACTGTGAAGACAAGCAATCTGATGCAGGAAAGGGACAGAAAACAGCATTTTTGTACACTACAGAATGCCTCCCCATGCTGTTGTACTAAGGCAGTCTTCACCTGCTTTTAAAGTGGTTATTGAAAGCTTTTTTCTTTCTGATGGGTAGCCTAGAGGCTGGCATATACATGGTTTCTTGAGCAGCAGGCTGTGAAACACAGGCTGTGTCTGTGATTATTAACTTGGAGGGGACCAGTAAATGCAAAGGGAAGCCAACTAACAAGGAAAAATATATTCACTTTTTTTTAATTCATTCATTCATTACTCTAGGGTAAGCAAGGGGAAAAGTCATTTGAATACACACACACACACACACACACACACACACACACACACACCCCTTAAAAGAATATACTGCTTTGGGGTTTGCTCTATACGTGTAAAAGCACATTTGCTTCCCTCCAAAAAATATTGGGAACTGTAAGGATGTGGGTAATTGTAACTCTGTGAGGTTTTTTTTTTAATTTTTAAATCTGATCTATTTATATCGCAAGCCAGTTCTCTACCAAATCTTCCCATTCCCATGTGCAGAGAGCGGTGTGCACTCACTGATGCAGGCTAGAACTGGATCACGTCCTTAGTCATTATTGTGAAATGACTTTTTAAACCCTGCTGAAATATATCTTAATTTGCACTGAGCTGATTTTAAAATAAGTATCTTTTGGAATAATAAAGTATATCTAAAAAGAAGAAGACAAGCAGGGAAAAGTTCAGTTTTCAAGAGCCGATATATAAGACATCCATTATGATGAGTAAGTACTACTTAAGAAAATCTTTTATGCCATGACTAGCCTTAGAATGAAACCAGTGATTAAAAAGAGATTGCTCATGAGAATGAAATCCTACCACTCAAGTAATGCATGGATTGATTCTTCTCTGTTCTCTGTTGGAAAGACTCTGCAAATCTAATAAGAATTTATATAAATTGAGAGAGCATGGTCCAAGTATCTCACCTTTCTTCATTTAGATGTCATTAGAGTTATAGTTATATCTTTTTAAGGAGGAAGGACTTGAGCAAACCTGTCAGGGTTCAAAATTAGTTTTCCATCTAGTCAGCCTATAAAATCCAAGGACATTCATGTATAGAATTTTCAGACCTGCAATTTTCTGTATCAAACATGTATTTTTTCCCCTTGATACATACAGATACCACTCTAAATGAAGGCCAGCAACATTACTGAAAGATGACTGTAAAGAACCACCAATGGCAGCCCCTTGTTGCAAGCTGCAGCAGAAGCAGGTGAAAAACTTCCCATTTTCCAGCAGAATCTTGATAAATATGCCTTTGTAGCTCAATAAATATAGTGGGCAAAGGAATGAGGAAAGATGTAAGTTGTCAGGAGGCAAAATAATCAAGGGATCTTAACTGGAGTGTAAAGCACAGCCAATTGGTCCTCATCTAAATACAATCATAGGTTGGTGAACTGCAATAGTTTATGGATTAAGATACAACAATGCTGACCAAGGTCAGAAGGGAGAGGTACTAGCAAGGGCAGCTGATGGTGGAAGCAGCTGACCAATCCTCATGCCCAAGTTTACTTACAAAGGGTTGAATCCAGATGACGTTGGCTATTTCAAGGCCATACTGAAAGTGTGCTCTACATGAATACGTATTGGAAAGAAGTTGATGCAGTGGAAAACAAACACTGAAGTTGTTATTACAGAAGAGGCGAGGCAGTCTGTTTGCTTACTCTTATGGGAAAACTGATTGTTTCCGAATATCACTGTTCAAATCAAGGGAAGTCATAGTACCACTCTATTCTGCCTTAGTCAGACCACACCTGGAATACTGTGTCCAATTCTGGGCATCACAATTTTAAAAGGATGTTGACAAGCTGGAAGGTGTACAGAGGAGGGTAACTAGGATGATCAGGGATCTAGAAGCCAAGCCTTATGAAGAATGGTTGAAGGAGCTGGGTATATTTAGCTTGGAAAAATCCATCTTCAAATATCTGAAGGGCTGTCGCATAGAGGAAGGTTGGACTCAAACCTATGGCTTCAAGTTGCAGGAAAGGAGATTCCAACTAGATATACAGAAAAATTTTCTGACAGTAAGAGCCGTTTGACAGTGGAACGGTCTCCCTCAGGAGGTTGTGGACTCTATTTACTTGGAGGTTTTTAAGCAGAGGTTGGATGGCCATCTGTCATGGATGCTTTAGCTGAAATTCCTGCATTGTAGAGGGATGGATTAGATGACCGTTGGGTCCCTTCCAGTTCTATTATTCTAAAACAGCAAATCTCTGTCATGTGGAACCACTCATGTAAAAGCTTGTGAAAGAGAGCAACTCGTTCTATTAGTATCGGATTATTCCCTTCATTTGCTAAGTGATATCCTGAGTTGTGAAAAAGCAGTGAGTACATATATTTTGGCCTTCATCAACACTCTATTTCATCCTAAGAACAAGCTCTCTCTGCTGATGTTTAAAAGAGCATTTAAACACCTTCAAAAACTCTCCTCCCTTCAACTTAGTTCTCTAATGCATGCTGATCAGCTCAGCTAACGCGTCTCCCCCCCCCCCCGCACGTTTTTAATCCTATTTTGTTGTAACTTGTTTCCTTCTCACCACCAGGAATATACTTCGCTACTACATTAACTATTTTGCCGTTGAAAGCACCATCGTCTTAAAGGTCAATCACATTGGAAATTAACAAGTGAAACATTGCAAATGCTGAAGAGGTTTTATTTTATTATATTTCAACGCTATCCTTCCTCTCGTAGGGGCTCAAGGAAGTTTACCGCATAATAAAGTTGAATTGAGCAGGACTCAGACAAATCTCATAGCTGTCAACTTACAGATTTGAAAATAAGGGACCAGCAGCCTCAAAAATAAGGGATCAGCAGCCAAAATAAGGGATTTTGCTATTGTAAAGAGTTACATACATTGGTAGGATTGACAGATGCCGTCAATCCAGAATGAGGCGGTTGCGGCGCTGCGGCGTCCGCTGAAGCGCCACCCTCTGCGTCCCTCCCCATCCCCTCCTTTTCCTCTTCCCTCAGGCCGGCTCCTCAGCTGCCACCATCGCTGCCACCTCCGGGCTCGCGGGTAGCATGGGCGAGAGTCTCCCTCCCCCCCTCTCGGGCGGGGAAGGGCCGATGGAACTCCTCGCGCCAGGACGACGGCACCAGCGCGCGCTCCTTCTTGCAGCGGAGAACCCCGAGCCGCTGCTTCCCTCCCGAGCCAAGCAAGCATGAAACCCGGGAAATTTAAGGGACATTCAATAAGGGACAGCAGCAGGACACGGCGCCAAATAAGGGGCGGTTGACAGCTATGCATAAAGGGTACATGCAAATGGCTGCCCACTTGTATTTCAACAAGTTTGTAATAAGGGCACACCAGAAGCCTAGATCGCCTAAGCAGCTGGGGAAGGCATAGTTCGGGGCTGTAGCAGTTCAGAACACAGGCATAGACTCATGTGAGTCAGTGGCCTTCCAGTAAATATTTCCCATCAACTCTTCTCCCTGTGTGCAGGAGAAAGGTTTGTATGGAGGAGCATTCAATCACGAAAGCTCCAGTCTCAAGTAGTATGGTCCAGAGGCATGTTTTCATCCCTGTGTTCTCTGACTGAAGATATTAATTTGCTTTCTTCACATTCATAAAGACAATAGGCTGGTTGTCCTCCGCCTTTTTAAGACCTTGGCAACTGAAGAGGCTGGCTGCTACAGGAAGACAATTTAACGCATGACCTGAATGGAAGTGAAGAGACAGCTGCTTGAACTGTCATCTGGTGTGTGGCGCAATATGGCTTAGATGCCACTGTGCTACTTTACTTACACCTGTGATCTTTGTCTGCTGTTTTTGAGAAATAATTCCCTGACTGACTTGTGTGTACATAGTACCAATGTAGCCTAGCATCAAATGTAAACTAGATAAACTAGGTTTTATGTCTTTATTCTGTGTGTGTGTGTGTGTGTGTGTGTGTGAGAGAGAGAGAGAGAGAGAGAGAGAGAGAGAAAGAGAGAGAGAGAGAGAGAATGAATATGACCTTAATTTGCAGAGCAGTCCAAAAACCCTTCTGGGCAGGGACGTGTGGGATGATAAAAGGTCTGCCTCCTCTAAGCTCTGCTGAAAGTTGTGGTGAGTGGAAGCCCACTAGCAATATCCCTGCCAGCAGAGCCTGGCGGAAAGCCCCAAAAGGTGAGCTGGTTTGTGATCTGTTGTGTCCTGAGCCAGTCTCACTGCCATTAGGTAATGCCATCAGCATCCCCAATCTGGACCCATATTCTGTGCCAGCCTGGACCTAGTTCAATGATAAAGTTTGATGGTCCAGCCCCACACCTTCCACAACAGCTACCTTGAGCAGCCATGATGCCAATGCAGTAGGGGCTCCACCACTCTACTGTAAGGAGTGGGGGCTAGAATTTCAGCCTAAGTCATAATCTTAGACTGAAACCTTTCCATTTGTCCCATTATATCCACACATAAAATACTAGACCCTCTGGGCTGCATGTGGCCCTGGGAAGCCTTCAATGCAGTCACACAGGTGCTGAAGCTGCGCCCCTCCACCAATTCCTTTTGCTGCCTTCCTGAGAAATTCACGCTCCTTTAAGCCCACAACCATCTGCCCCATGTAAATTGTGCTCCTTTCAGCCACCCCCAACAACTGTTTGGGGACCTGAAAGTTAGAGTGATGCACAGTCATTCCTACCTTGCACATTCTGCCTGTGGATGTGAATGGCTTCTACTTCACCCGTCAGCCCAGGCCCTGTCTGATCTACTGGCATTTATCCCAATGACTGCTGACGTACCTTCATCTCACTG